GTCGAAGGAGGAACTTTGGTCAGAGACCTGGAAGCGCATAGATCGATTCCTACCTGAACTCCGCGGCGAACTCGCTCTTGATGAGCCCCCGAACGTGAACAAGGCAGACAATCAGACCACTGAAGTGTCGGCACAGCTTTCGGAGAAGGAAAGGGAGATCGAGAAGAAGCCTGAGACTAAAGAGGACCAGGTTGCTGGCAACCCTGTCACGACAGAAAAGGTTGCTCAAGTATAAATCTTGCTTCGCTCGGAAAAGACTGGGAAAAGTCAGAGCCAACAAGATCATGTGACCAAAATATCTGCGCATCGGCATTTGGATGGAATCTACTGTATACTTTGAGATGTTTACTTGACAGAGGGTTTTCTACAAAATCACAAATAGAACGCCTCTATCATTGGCTCCAAGAGCTAGATTGACAGATGTTTGCTTGAGATAAACAGGGCGATAAACGCTTGAACTAGAATGTATCCACCTACTAGTATCAACCAGTTGTGATATCAAACATGCCCTAAAAGCCCGATATAGATTGATTGATTGCTACCTATGGCTTGAAAGGAGACTTTGTTGCAGCGTATTTTATTGGAGTTGGTATATGTGTATATATTATTGTAGTTAGCAACCTTTTTGTGGACCAGCACCTCGCGGCGTTAGTCATTCATATACTCTGACTGAGAATGTGCACCGGGGTAAAGGTTCCTCGAAGCTTCAGTGTAAAGACCAGCCTACCTTGACCACCAAGACGCCCCACGAACATGCTATCTCAGTCTTAGAATGCCTTAGGCACGTATTTATGAGGCAACATCGTTATTCTTTCTTCTTTCTCTCTGCTCGATCTCACACATTCACTTGTAATTTATTTGTGCAACCGCCCCACCCAACATCAAATGCTCCAACGCTCTTTGCGTCTTGCGATGAAGAGAAATCTCGACTCATTTCAAAAGGTACACTATTCGTTGACTTCCAACTCGGTCACGAGCCCAAGGGCGCCTTCTCCCAAAGTCAAAATTCCTGGACCGCCTGCCAAGGCTCCCAAGTCCAACATGGTGACCGCCACCGTTCAACTTACCAGCAAGGAGCAGCAGCTCCGCCATCTGCTTCTTGATGTTGCCAAAGACATAGACGAGTCCGGAAAAGCTCCAGAGCCTATTGTTATCCGTTGGGCCGGTGGCTGGGTACGCGACAAGCTACTCGATATCCAGAGCCATGACATAGACGTGGCCATCAACGCAATGACGGGGGCCTCTTTTGCTCAAGCTATGTGCGATTACTGTGAACAACCAGAGGCCATGTCCAAGCACAGCATTGGCCCCGCAGCTATTGGAAGCCTCCACAACGTTGCGCGCAACCCTGAGAAGTCCAAGCATCTGGAAACGGCCATGGTCAAGATGTTCGGTCTGGATCTCGATTTCGTCAACCTCAGAAAGGAAACCTATACCGAGGACAGTCGAAACCCTCAAATGGAATTCGGTACGGCTGAAGAGGACGCTCGCCGCCGCGATGCCACCGTGAACGCACTCTTCTACAACCTACACGACGATCGTGTTGAAGATTTTACCGGGGGACTCGCAGATATGGAAGCTCAGATAATCAGAACCCCCTTGGAGCCCTTCCAGACCTTCATGGATGACCCTTTGAGGGTTTTGAGACTTGTTCGTTTCGCCAGCCGGCTCCAATTCACAATCGACGCCAGCACGCGCAGATTCATGGCAGACCCAAAGGTCCTTGAAGCATTGCGTGCCAAGATCAGTCGAGAGCGAGTTGGCGTAGAGTTGGAGAAAATGCTCAAAGGTTGTTGCAGTATCTTGATCTGATCTGATCTGACCGGCATGTACTGATTTCTATGTAGGAGATCACCCTTTTGAAGCGCTTCAGCTCATCCATGAACTACAACTCTTCCATGCAATCTTTACCGACCCAACCCAGGAGAACCTCCCAGTCCCCGACATATCGCGCTGGGCTGTTGCTTATACTTGTCTTGACGAGCTTCTCAAGCATCGAGGCTCGACTTCCATCGCTGGCCGACTCATTACATCCTCGGATGTCACCTACACCGCTTGGAATCTTGCCGCGCTCTCTCCATGGATGACGGTTGAAGAGCCTCCGAATCCTCACAGGAAAGCAAACGCTCTACCTCTTGTGGCCATTGTCTCGCGCGAAGGCTTCAAAGCCCCAAATCGACTATCGAATATTATTACTGCTTCGCATCGCAATCGTGTCGAGATTTTGAAGTTGAAACGTGCCGTCTGCAATGGAGAGTCGTACATCCAAGAACGAGATCGTTTCGGCATGGCAATCAGGAAGTGGGACACACCCACTGGTACCTGGAGACTGCAGGTCTTGAATGCACTACTCGTCGAGGCCTTGGAAACCCTCACAGGATGGCGCCAAGAAAAGTCAACAGGTAAGAGTGATGCCATTTTCCCTTCCCCCATGAACATCCGAGTAACTTGTGTCTAGAACCAAGTAACTTCTTAGCAGGCTGGAATAGTTTCCTCGACCACCTCACTAAGTTAGACGTCTATGAAGTCACGAAACTCGAAAAGCTCCTTGATGGCGGAAAGCTTGCCAAAGCACTTGGTGGTATCAAACCGGGGAAATGGACAGGTCCGGCTCTAGATGTCTGTATTGCATGGCAGCTTCGCAACCCCGGCGAAACAGACCCAACTGGTGCAATAGAAGAAGTACAGCGGCGGAGAGAAGAGTTGGGATTACCGTGAGTAAGGAGTTAGTATTCGTTCCAGGTCGAGAGCTCTGCATATGCACCGGTACAGCCTAGGCGAAGCTGCCGTGGCTTGACTATCATGATGGATGCATGGCCTGTATGGATGCAATGGATATATAGGGCAAAGAAAAAGAAGAAGAAAGAAACGCCTCTTTTGCAGTTAATACGAACGAGTATAATGATAAAAAAAACTTGACAAACTGTTTACTGAGGTTGACAAAGTTGGTTGACTTGACCATGTTGAGCAGGCAGGCAGGCAGGCAGGCAGGCAGGCACCACTTTCTATACAGTGCGACTCACTGTGCCCCGACACCGTAGTCCCTGTGGATCCAATCAACATATCTATCTATTTACCTTAAGTATCTTACCTAAGGCATCCTGTCTCGAGATCCGGCGTTCGCTCTTCATTCTTCTCACTCACCAACCTTCAATCAACGATAAGATGCCAGCAACTGACTCTGATACCATATTTGGTGCGTTAAAAGGGCTCCTTGGCCCTTCAAATACAGCATTGTTGCATGAAGTCTCGGGTATGTGCTTGGCTCATCCTTAGCTTCACGGCATCGAATTGACTAGGATATATTCATTGTTTCAGGAAAGTCGGAGCATTTTCCTGCAGAGCTTGACTGTGTGATATCTTCATTGGTTGAATCCAATAATGCAGTGCGTTTTCCTATACGCCTTTGACGCTACATGGCTCAGATAAACAGCGCCGAGCTGACAACTGCTGACTCCAGGATCTTCGCCAATCCGTTCTCAATGTAATTAACTATGCCTCATCTTCAGAGAACAACCTGGACCAGAGCCAATTATTGAGGCTTGTGGCAGCCGTTAGTGAGAAAGCATTGGCATTGAGGAGCGTTGAAGGTACATCGGCGTGCATAAATCTATCACTTCTGTAGGCTGACGAACATCACAAAGAACACTCAGAGCTCCTCACAGAAGCAGCTGTTGCCAGTCTCAGTATATTGAGCTCGAAATATCGCATTGTTCTGGGCCAATTTATTCTCATAAAGCTCACAGCTGTTACTGATCCTCAGGACCCATGGACAACTGCACAAGCTGCAACAGCAGCCTCGAAACTTTTGTCCGAACACCTTGAAGGTGAGAGCCTGAACGAGTTTATCACCAACACGATCCTTCAGGAGCATTTGAAACCATTGTTTATGAAATCGACCTCGCGAATCACGGCTTCAGGACGGCCCTCCCAGTATAATATGATTGACGATCGGTCCCGAGCCGTGATCGAAGTGCAATCATGGAGAACTCAGGCGCCGTGGGCAGAGGCTACAATACAGTGGACAGTAAACATGTCTACGGTAAGGTCGTGCCGATGGAAATGTGATCAGTTGCGCTGACCCTCGCTGGTAGACGTCTCTCATTAAGCAGCACTGGCCGCTTTTCTTGCCAGTCTTGTTGGCGCTGGTGGAGAACGAGTCTACCAAGACCAAGGTCAGAGGTTTAAAGACCACGAGGGAATTCATAAACAAATGTCCAGCTCAAGTATTGCAAACCACAGGCATAGGCCGTGTATTTGCGAACGTCACATTTCCGCTCCTGCTCTATCTCCCCAGCATCACACCAGAGGAGGAGTCTATAACCATACTCATATCGGCTTACGATGTGCTTATCAAGCTGGCCCAGTCCACCGGGGATACCAACAGTATTGAGCGTCGCCGACTATTCGACAAGATCCTCAGAGATGGAGTATTCGCAGGTTATTTCCATGCTTCTCAGCACACTCGCATTGTCCAAACTCTGTTGCAGAAGGTAACAGCAGTGATCAATAGTCTGGGTATCCATACAATCAAACATTTAACTGTGAGTAACCACTTATTACCGAAAAACGCCTCGGGTTTTTTTTTAACACGTCTGCGCCAGCCTCTTCTCTCAATGGTGTCATTAGTCATGACAGACCCCTTTGCAGTCTCACATCCTCTGACCCTGATAGCGGCCACGCAAACCATGAGCGCCATCATTACTAATTCATGGCCTCGTATCCGAGAAACTGAGCATATGGAGAACGTCGTCCGAATTCTGTCGTTATGTTGGCTAAACGTTTCTGAGGAGATTGAGCATGAGGCATCTCGGACTTTAGCTGATATCAACACATTGTCACGAGAGTTGGCACATACAGCTCGAATTCTTCAGGCACTCTGGGACCATGATGCCTCTCAATGTCCCGCGAAGCTGAGTGAAGCCTTGAAGCAAGAACCGCGGCTATCTAACCTTTTCCCGGAAATGCTGGCGTGAAGGCTGAGCGGCTGTTGCTAAGACTCAGTCTAGGGGCTGTTGCTTGAAGAAAGACTTCCCACGCAGCCATTTCCTATAGGCTTTGTATCGTTTCTTCGGACCATCTTCCTCAGTCACCGTTAGAGGGTTTTCCCCCACCTTGAGCAACTCAGCGTAGACATCGATCTCTTCTTCAGTTCCTTTGACCATTAAACCTTCATCTTGCCAGTCGCCGCTTACATACTCCTGATACTCAGACGCATCCACGTCCACGGGCGTGTCGCTTGAAATAACGAGAGGAAGATTTTGAGGATGACGGATATATCGCTCGTAATCTTCGGATTCCTGCTCGGCAACAGACGGATTCAGTGAGTCATGGACAGCTTTGGTGAAAGTCCACTGTGCAGCCTTGGATTTCTCCAGGGCTGTTGGCTTCGTCTTAGGGCTATGTTCAGATGCCTGCACTGGTTGATTCGTGTCCAGTCGCAGAGAGCTGGCGTGTGCACCCTTGTCTTGAACAGGTTGCAGCCAACGCTGGAGCGAGATCCCTTTCGCTGGTGATCGGTCCAAAATCGAATCTGGCGCCCCATTCGCTCCCACAGTCTGTCCTCGAGAACTTGTTACATTTGCGTGTGGATGAGCATCTTTCTTCGACTTCTTTTTGTCACCGTGATCAACTTCATTATCAGTTCGAACCCGGAAAGGGCTGAGGTCGTAGCGGCCATCCTGGGTAGATTTAAGGGGGATGTATTTGATAGTTGAGTTCATCTTGTAAGCAAACATCTTGGGGAAAGAAGAGAGGGTCGATGGCCTGTAATACTCGAGCCAATAGTCATCAAAGAATTCAACCGGATGGGCGCGGGCAATGTCTTTGCTGGGTACGTATGGTGGAATTGTTCGTCTCTGCAAATTATCCGGAACATACCAATTGATGTAGTCGTGCTTCAACCTGGCGGACCAATCTCGTGGATCGGCGTGATGGAGGTAGTAATCAGTTGCCAAGTCCCACAGCATAGGTTGGCCTTGAGTGAATATGTAATTGCCAAGGAATAGGTTGTAGGCCTCCTGGCGTTGACTGTCCAGGAAGGAGTTGTTGTAGTATCGCTTGAAGCTCTCGATCATGTCTCTTGAATGACTTGTCCATTGGTTAATTTTTCGGTAGGTTTCCATGGTATTGACCAGTTGTGAGCCGCCGTACTGAACAGCAATGGTATCACCATGGTCATGCCACATGTGAGTGAACAAATTGACAGCGTCCGTGTCGTAATCAACCGACGTATCCTCAAGAATGCCAAGGGCATGTAGCTGGTGACCTAAGGCTCGCTTGCCGATGACAAACTGCGCAGCATTAGTACGGTCCAAGCAGTCGATGCAATTTGTTCTGGCGACTCCATTCTGTGCTGTCATGGGGCTCGTGAGACCATCTCCGTTTTGGAAGAAGCCTGTTGTAGCGAGGACCGACTCTGCGATAAGCTCGAGGTTGCCAATAACGTCCCCACCACGCACTTTCGATGCGCGACTCATATCCCACGCTTTGTGAATAATCCTCTTATCCTCAGGCAGGAATTGATTAAGATAGTTGATGGCATGAGTATATTCCTCCAGTAGCTTTGATTCACGAGGCGTCCGTTCTTTGGACTTGATCAGGTTCACAACATAGATCGGCGCACCGTAGCGCTCGAACAGGTTATCGAAGTGCAGAGCGGCGGCGCCATAGAACGGATCAACCAAATTAAGCTCAATCGGGGGTTTGGGTGTAACGCCGGTGCTGTCCTGTGTCCAGTACAGCGGAATGCTCCCTCTGTGCTGAACATAGGAGGTGTACTGCGGGCTACAGTATAGTTGAGGACCAGGTGCGTGAAACGACGTGGTCAGTGACTCCGCTACGATCTGCTCCGTCTCAACATCGTTGGCAACATAACCCTAGGAGTGTCAGCACGCGAGCACCAAGGAGAGAAGGCAAAAGCCACTTACAAGATCGTTGGCTCCGCGTTTCAAGAACCGAGCACCGGCAAAGTAGCGCGATCGCCTTGCGATGACAGTGATGTGTGCAGTACGGCCGTAAATTGACAGAGCTGTTGAAGATCAGTACGGAGCATGGACATAGGAGCTGCAGTCCCATTTGCCGAACTCACCCGCTTGATCAATGTACCCATGTATAATTGGACGACACCAGTCATATGGGTCCCGAAGAGCAGTAACGGCAGGCTGTAGCAGATAGTCGTTCCAGACAAACATGGAGTTGAAATCGTCGTCGTCAGGCGGCAGCATTCCCTTGGCAAGAGCATCGCGCTCCCGGATGACGTTATGCTGCAAGGTACGTGTAACATCGTAAGAATAGCTGTAATAGAAAGAACGAGTCAAGTCGAGATTGTTCAAGATGCCGAGGAATCGTTGCTCCTCGGTGTTGCGGGCATCTGGCTTGAACTTGGCGGGAGTCAGGGAAACAAGCTCAGTGCCCTCGATCTGGTATATGTAGTGGCCTCCAACCATAGCGACAGTGCTCTTTTTTGTGATGAGAAGCATATAGTAGGGGCCGGTGAACTTGATAAAGCCAAGGAGTCCCCATGTGGTGCAGCGAAGCTTGATGCCACCGGTACCTCGGTTCCCGTCATCTATTGTGTCGAGCAGTTGGTTCATCTCCTTCAAACTATAGACAATTTTGTCATCCGTCACGTTGAGCTCAGCACCCTCGGTAGTGCGGTCAATCTTGAGGATTCGATAGCGCTTTTCACTGACATCGACACCGACGATGTAATATCGACTGGCCGTTTCGTAAAGACTGAACTTGTGCATCTTGTAAATCAGGCGATCAGGGACACGGTCATCGAAGGCATCTGGGAATGCGCGTGTGGACGGGTCGGGGCTCGTTGTTCGCATAAAGGGCTTCGCTACAGCGGGCTCATCGTCATTGTCGTCTTCACCGATCGTGGGGCCGCCGACGGCTTCTGAAGACAAGGGACTTCCCGCGCCATTGTTCTGAAGCGAGGGGAAAACAGGTGCATCGCCGTTGGCGTCGTTGGTAGCTGGAAGCTCGCCTACTTCAGGGCCTGGGCTGACCGCGCCGGAAGCACCATATTCAGACATTCTGACGAGTGCGTGGCATGTCCGAGCGTGGGCGAATCGCTGGAGAGGATGCACCTATCTTTGAGCGTATAAAATGGTGAGTCGCATCGAGTTGAGCAGGCAAATGTGTCTGCTGTTGCTGTACATGAAGAATGCTGTGTGTCGTAATCAGTTAAAAAAGGACGCCGGGTAGGTAATAGGTAGGGAGACACGAAATGACAGAGCCAATTCCTGCCTCAGAGATCAAGCATGGATGGATGGATCGATTGTCGGCGGTTTACTCGCAGTCCCTTATCGTCGTGCAACCCCTCCCATAGGTTCCATGTAGATAAATGAACCCCACATCGCATCTCAGTTGATGACGTTGTAAGTGTCGTATGCCGGCGGTCACATGTCTATGAATTTAGTTACCGTCCATCTTACAAACAAACAGACAGTCGAAACCAATATTGGCCTTTTCAGCATGGCGCTACTGGCATTCTACCAACTCCGAATACGTGCACAGGCTCTTTCCCCCCATTGCTCCAATCCAAGCCAGTCACTGTTCTCTGCTTCGCCCATTCGACTTTGGTGTGGCCTGGATCTAGCGTGTGTATATCCGCGGCTCATGAACCTGCCGATCTAGTAAACTAACAACAAACTACTGAACCCCATCCTTAGTAACACCTCTACTCTTGCAGCTCTCATTCCGGGGTAAAGCTGAAGCCTCTTGGCTTAGGTGAGCTATCCGATTCTTATCGTTGTTAGATCTCCATGCCAAGCAGCCAGCTCCGTGACCTCGGTGTTTTAGGTAGTCTCTCGCTCAGCCTACCTACCTACTAGTCTGTCCACGGGGGACAGCACGCGACTTTACGCCATATTTACCCATCGACCCTTCATTGTCTCGATACAACCTTGTCGAATTCTTGATAACCCTTGCCAACTGCATTGGCTCAGCGTCTGCGTCGAGCATATCTCATCCAGCAGCATCTTTGACTCTCGTTGTCATCACATATGTATGTAGGTTGGACCTATCTAACAATGTACAATACATGTCCTCATGCTTGACCATTTGCCACCGTGGCTGCATAAGTTGTGTTGCATCTGTTAGCTCTTTGCCGAGCTGAGCGACCAACGGTTGGTGTCTCACGACATTGATCCAATTGCCTTCTCTCAAGGACCACCACTACGCCTCGAATAGGTTCGTGTCTGCTAAAAAGCCATCTCCCGGCAAATAGATTCATGAGGTGATTAGCAACATGGTCACGGTACCTTTGTCTAGCTTGCATGTTAGCCTTACAGTGTTACGACTACCACCACCTTTGGCTTTTGTTTCCAATCAAGGGCCTCAGACCATTGCTGGAGGCTGGCTGATCACACACTCAATCGTCATCGCGGTCGAACTATGTAGGCTACCTCACTGATAGCGGCAACCTCCTAAAGGATTTCTCAACCACTCGCTAAGAACCCTTTGTACTGTGACCATCACCCTGACGTCAATGGCCGTGATGGTCTGATTCTAAGCCACGTCCAGCTGCCTCCTTCCGTACCTAGCATTGGCCGTATCTCTGTCTACAAGCGATACGCCACTGCAAGCGTCAATCTAAAACCGCTCTTGTCTAAGCTTCCCATGTCCATCCAATTCAATACAACTGACTGCCTACAAGCCGAATAGAGGTAGACAGGCATTCATCTTGCGGGGTAATAGACACCTCCATTACCTACCTACCTATCCATTTGAGACTTCCCAAGGCAGTATATAAACACCTCGTTGCCCAACGATCTCGACTTGAATCCCTCCAAGTCTTCTTCCTTACTTAGGCACCTATCAAGTACCTAAAATTGAAGATACCCCCAAAACATTTGTACTCAGAATCTTTCGTTCCTTCCTCCTGCCCCTCCACAAAAACTCTTTACACGGCCCAGACAGTGAACGATGGAGCAACCTATTAATACCCAAGAGGGTACTACACAGCCCCTGAACGAAACGCCTGTTGTTGGGTCACCCCCCCAGGATCGTAGAGCAAGCGATGCCGCACAAGACCGGAGAATGAGTGATGAGTGGGGTACGTACAATATATGTCAAACAATTGTGCATCGGCAGCTAACTGAGAAATGCTTAGATGCGTCAAAGGTTCCCCCCAGTCGTTTCCAAAAACGCAAGGGATCCATTTATGCTACGCCTGGATCTCGCGACGGTCATGTCGACAGGAACTATCAGGACAAGTACTGGTCCAAGATGACCGAGAAGAACTGGGGCAGCAGCAGCAAGTAAGCATCGGGAGCGAGTATTGCGTGATCAGGTAGCAGGAGTTTGGTTTCATGATTGATTGCCGAGTTCACAACTGTAAGATGAGAGACTAAATACGGAAAATAAGGGAATAGTTATCTTGGATAAACGTCTTGTACGTCCTACTACGCAAAGAAAAACATAAATTAGGCACTCCACCTGCAACCGCCCATCATTCATCAATGCCATCGATCTCAATGGCGTCGGGATTTGAAGTGACTGCCGCTGTAGCTGGTGTGCCTCCAACTGGACCAGTACTGGCTGCCACGAACCCCTGCGGTGCTCTGGATTGCCTCTCCAGTGCCACTATGGCATCCGTTATCTCGGCATCATCTGCCCCTCCAGGACGACGTTGACTGCGTGCAAGGGCCTGGGAAGCTATAAAGTTGACGTCTGTGTTGTATTGCGCCTGAACACTTCGCTTGATACGTAACATTTCTTTAAATGTATCTTCGTTACCGTGCTGCACTTCGAACTGCTCCCATTTCGTCCAGAAGTCGGGGTTTATGCGGGGGTCACAGAACTGTGATGCATGGCCATAGATGGCGCGAGCCCGGTCAATCTCACCCAACCTCTTCTCCATGTCCGCAAATTTGAGGCACATGTCCTTAGCTTCGACATCTGGAAGAGCAGCGATGGCCCTCTCGTAAATTGGTCTGGTCGACGTCAGGCCGAAATTGGAGGCAGATTTGGTGATATAGAAGTTGAACATGTCAGCCCGGTCTTCGTCCGCGACTGCTCGTGTGGCCCGCTCGTAAATTCGCATTGCATGACGCGCTAGGCCACGTTCCTCTTCCAAGTTGCCATACATGAGGTAGATCGTCTTTGCGAACTTCGGAGGGCAATCTTCCACGGCTTGCTCGAATAGATCGCGAAGTCGTTCTATCCCGATCTTCCGATCAACAGCCTTAGTAAGATACAAGTTCCAGAGCTCAAAAGCAACGGGGTAGCTGAATAGGTCTAAGCCGCGCTCATAAATCTTGAACGATTCCTCATAATATTTGTGCTCCTCGAGTAAATTGGCATAGTTGACAACCGTCTGAGGTGTTGCAATTCGGAGCTCAAAGATTCGTTCATAAACCTTTTTGGTCTCATCCAAAGTAGACACGCTTTCAACGAGATCGACGTAGAAGCTCCAGAGTTTCCAGCTCTTGTGGACTCTTTGTTGCGGTGACAAGGTCTCGTCGAAGTAGTCCACAGTGGAGCGCTTTGGTGCCTGAATTGCTTTGGCCATGATCCGGACGGCTTCGTCGAAGTTCTCATTTCGTAATTCCATTTCTGCCCATTCAATCCACATATCAGCAAGCTCTGCTACTGACTTGAAGGGCACCTTGATCGCCTTCTCCATGATGACCCGGGCGTTTCTCAGGTCACCTCCGCGTTCATAAAACTTTGCATAGTTGGCCCAGAGCTGATGAAATGCCCCGATGGCGCGTTTTGGCTGTATTGCCGCAATTGCATCCGTGTACGTCTGAGCAACTTCCTTCTTGTTATCGCCCCAAAGGGCAACTCTCTTTTCCCACTCTGGAACGTTGTTCGGATTCTGGCGTAACAGGACGTCGTTTAGGAGGAATGGTCGCCTGTCCATGAGTTGTTCAAAGCGCATCATTCTGATATCCAGCTCAAAGTCCGCGTTTTCGTCTTCTATCCCTTTCTCGGCCCTTGCAGACGCAACCTCCATGAGAGCACCGATGATCGACTCTTCAAATTCGGTATAAGCCTCGAAGATAAGGGTGAAGTCTCTCACTGTCATGACTGTGGTGATCCCCTCTTCAAAGACATCGCGAGCTCGTTCAAAGCTGCCTCTCCGGATCCAATAAGTAGCGAGGCCTGACCATAACTTCCCTCTTTGATCCGCAAATCTGGAAATACCACTTCGAATTATACGTTCCGCGTCAATGCCAGTTTCGTATCCTGTCTCGATTTCGGCGGCGTGTTCAACAACAAGATCTACCATTTCGCTCCAGAGTTCATAATGGCCTTTCCCGTGCTTGCTGTTGAACCTGGCGTTGTTAAGAACATCTATAAATTTCAGCGCGGCCTCTGTGTAAAGCCCCGTTTGAGTCAGTAGTTCGATGAAATCCTCAGCATCTTCGGGATGCACCTGCATATAGCGTCGCCAAATCTTCACAGCAGTTTCGCCCGCGGCTGAGTTCGCAAATGGGCGATAGAAGGCCCAAATACGATTGTGCTGAGATATGGGAAGAGCTCTTAGAGCTCGGTCGAATGTCCGTCGGGTGAGAGTAACAAGAGGTTGTTTCGTCAGGAACTTGAGGTACATTTCCCATATCCGCGGCATCTTGTGTAATAGATTGAGGGCCTTTTCGAAAAGGGTGTTGACTTTGCGATATTCTGCGGCGAATAATGCTGGATTCAACTTGGCAACGTGCTTAACTCGAAACGAGAGATACTAGATAATGTTAGGCTTCAGCATTAGGCAACAGATGCCATTCCGTGGGTTTTATCATACCAGTTTCCATAATTTGTATGAACGCGGCAATTGAGCGCAAGCTCGCTCCATCACATACGTTTGCTCGAGGATGGTTCCGTGATGTGTTTTGAACTCAATGTATTCCAGCCAGGGCTTCACACTACCAGGGTCGCGAAGGACATCTTGCTCGTAAACGGAATCCTCGTTGGACTGAAGGATTTCGGTCAGTTGAGTATCATACGTGATGCGCATCGTGTTTGTGTACTTACTACGAGATGCAGTTGGGGCTGTCTGCGCGCTCCATTTAGAGCGTGATCAATC